GGATGCGGATTCGAACCCGCGACCCTCAGATTGTGAGTCGAGCGCCTTATTCACCTGGCCATGCCGGGCACCTGTATGTGAAAACAGTTATGTGGCAAATCAGTGCATTTATTTGTTAGCTCTACAACTGTTTCATTAAGTGTAGTTAGAATAATACAGGTTTAAAAAGAGGTAATTGAGCTTTAATATAAGTACCTAGAGTTTGAAACGCTTCTTTACATTCCATATTTTTTACTTGGTTTTAAATTTTATGATTTGTATAGGATTATTCTGCACGTGGGTTTTAAACACATCTACAGGGGTTAGGTGTCTTAGTGTGCGTGTTTTACATCTGAAGTTTCTTGAGTGATTCATTTGGTGTCACTCACCCTAACATCAACAAAAGCATTTAAATCTCACATTATTATATTTTCTGTAACAGAATGGAGGAATTGACATAAGTTCTAAAAAAACACTCGTTATGATTCCTTGAATTCTAAATATAGTGTTTTGAGTTTACCTTTTTTCTTAAATCGCTATTAAAATACATTAACACGCCCTATATAAGTAACAAACATGGATTTATGAAGATATTAATTATATATACGTTAAGTCATGCCTGTTACTTTCGCACTACTCATCAACAGGATGGTACAGTGCTAAGTTTAAAACATAGGTAAGTTTCCAAAATTTGCTTTTTATTTTTTCATTCTGACTAAATTTTCAGATTTTTTTTTATTTACAAAAGCTTTTCTTAAAACTTATATAGGAGGAGCTATAAAACGTGGGTAAGATGTCAACTAGGTTTGTAGAGCCTAAAATTACACTGACTGTAAAACTTTCTCTCACGGAGACACTGTGAAGCGGAAGGCCTAAAATCTAATGTTAGATAAAAGTTCATTGAGTGCTTTTTGCAACGTTAAAACAAACACCAGTAATCAAACTGAAACAATGTCACAAAAGAAAATGGATCAAAACTGTAAATATTTACAAATGTGTATTGCAGTCAGGATTTTTACAACTTGACATTATATCACCCAGTCGCCTTAGTTATCAACATAAACGTGAATTGGAGATAGATGTTACAACGTGATATTATATTATCCAGTCCCCACATTTACCACGACAAGCGTGCACTACAATCAGTTTTTTACCACGTTACATTATATCACACAGTTCCATTATTTACCACAAGTTGCATTACAATAAGATTTTTACCACGTTACATTATATCACACAGTTCCCTTATTTACCAAAAGTGTGCATTACAATCAGTTTTTCCACGTTACATTATATCACACAGTTCCCTTATTTACCACAAGTGTGCATTACAATCAGATTTTTACCACGTTACATTATATCACACAGTTCCCTTATTTACCAAAAGTGTGCATTACAATCATGTAACGTGGTAAAAATCTGATTGTAATGCACACTTGTGGTAAATAAGGGAACTGTGTGATATAATGTAACGTGGTAAAAATCAACTGTGTGATATAACTTTAATTTATCATACGTATGGAATGTACCACAGAAAACCTTTTCGGATATTCAGTCTTCTATCGTATATACGTTTTCAGCACTCGTCATTAGGCCGAATAAAAATATTTTTGCAGAGAGTTATCAATAACCTTTGATCAAAACAAGCTACCCAAAGAAGTCCTCAGCAAAGAGTTATCAACAAATTATGATCAAAGTAAGCTATCCATACAAGTCCTCAGCAAAGAGTTATCAATAAATTTTGATCAAAACAAGTTACCACACAGACCAGAACTAAAAATTAACCGAACAAGTAATATTATGAATTTAATATGCTTGGTCTAACTAGAAGTTTGCAATGTTACAAAAAGACTTATAATAATTAGTATGCATTGAATCATCAATTGGGTACCCTAGCTGTTAATGATATTTTCAACCGGAATCTCAATAATATTTGATAATGTTCGGCCAGCTTAGGTGAATGTAGGTCAGTCCTAAATCCACATACTAAATTGGCAATACAAAATAATCTTCATAAGAGCAAAAATAAATATTAAAGATTATAACAATACTCTTAATGAAACCAGCGTTAAAGAAATAATTGAATGTAACTTTTCATACAAGACATAAAAACTAGTTGCTTGCTTCATGCACTGTCACAGATTCCCCATCCCTTGAAAAGCGTGGCAACAGTACACACAAAATAGACACGGCTATTACATTTGTGGTGCAAACAAGTTCCAGAAGCTACGTTTATAAATAACCTGCTAAAAACTGGATTCAAGTTAACTGTGCTCACTTAATGGTTGCTGTAACATTTTACAGCCAAGGATAAGCTGAGTGGCGATAAAGACGGCTATAGACACAAAGTTGTGAAGATCGAGTTGACTGGAGTAGATAGTACACGTCTAGTTAACACTGGGGTAAATACACAGTTAAGTTGTGAAGATCGAGTTGACTGGAGTAGATAGTACACGTCTAGTTAACACTGGGGTAAATACACAGTTAAGTTGTGAAGATCGAGTTGACTGGAGTAGATAGTACACGTCTAGTTAACACTGGGGTAAATACACAGTTGTGAAGATCGAGTTGACTGGAGTAGATAGTACACGTCTAGGTAACACTGGGGT